TTGAAGGACAGCATGCCTTCATGTATTATATTTGACTTGGACTCAAATCCAGGCATATGAAAAACATAAAATAAAATTGTATGTAGAACTCAGAGTTTGAGATTTGGGCTAAACAGGACGGTACTCAAGGTCCTTGTGGCATACCATGACATGCCCTATCAAACACATGGGCTTGGACAGATGGCTGGCACCACAGGAAATTGAGACAAGTGTGCAAAAACAATAAAATAAATGTAAAATTGAGCTTTAATGCTTTGTTTCCTCAAATCCACCTACACTTCAGATGCTCAAAAAATAAGGCCTCATACACCCTAATTATCTATTTGCCCAGATACAATCATCCATTTCACAGGATCTTTTTGGTACTTTGTTAACCTCAGCTTTACTCTTTTCATTTTTTTTAAAATGAGCCATTTTTCCTAACTGAACTTGAATGAAAACTTGAAAGAAAACTTAAGTAAGCTGTTTTAGATGTTGAGAGTTTTTTGGTAACTTCCTAACAAGTGGTAGTTAAGAAAGAAAAGACAGTGGTAAAAGAGAAGAGTGGGACAGAAACCTGTTTTTCAGGCATATATAAAATGCTCATCTGGTGTAGGTGGTAAAGGTGTAGGTGGCTGAAATCTGTTAGTTATGCAGTAACCCAGCAAGAAAAGGTTACTCAGGGTCTTTCTTCATGTGGTGCAAACATAATTGCTCAGCACTTTAAAACATTACCTCAAAACATCCTAAATATTTGTGAGTGTGGGTGTTTCCTTCCCCATGAAAGTGGGTTCAAATCAGAAACATTCATCCACAGGCTTCCTGACAAGGGAGCTGGAGACATGAGAATCCATGTGTTAGCCAGAATGCCAAACAAATCAGGCTTATTAGGATGGGTCATATACAAAAAAAAAGGTCCTTATTTTTTGCTATCCCAGACCCAATCAACTGAGTAATTTTTTTATTGTGGTCAGGAGGGCTTTCATAATTTAGGGCATGTTTTTTTGAAATTTCAATCTAGCACAACATAATCAAAACCTACTGGCCTCATTTATTTTATCTTCAATCTAAGCCATTACATTGCAAAAGCATTACAGAGATATAAAACTCTTTGGGATCTGGGGGCATTGTTTGAAGTGCAGGAGACTGATTGTGAACATCCCAGAGCAGAGTTCACATCAGTCCATGTTGCTTGTCAGTGATGTTTCCTCTTAAGTTCTTAAGTGTATTAGTCAAAGCAATGCTTTCAAATGTTCCAAAAATACTCAGTTCAACCAGGGGCTGAGACTTTGAATCCAGAGCCACCACCTTTGACATTCCATGAGCTGTGTTACCCAAAGAGTGAGCCAGCCCTTCACTTGCCCAAGAGCACCTCTTTATAACCATATCTTTGGGAGCACAGCATGGTATGTCAACTAGTAGCTATTCTGTCCTTTCACAGACATTTCTATCTTGGCAAGAAGCACTGGGGAAGGAGATTGAATATTTCTATAATGGAAGATGGGTTTTTTGGGGGGTGATGGGTTTGGAGTTGTCTTATTTTACCAGATAAGAGATAGGATAACAGAAGTATTGTATAGTGTGTGTGCCTTTGCATCCACTCCTAAGGCACACCTACTTGCAGGGCCCACATCCACTGCACACTTTTAACAGCTGAGAGCAGCAGCAGTGAAAGAATTAGGGAAAAAAAAAAAAAGTTATTTTCTCTGGGAAACCAAGTTTGAAGCAGTTCCAGGATCCCTTGCACTTGGAGACTCTGATGTTAGGTGGGGCTGAGGCTTAGCCCCTCACTCGGATATGTTTTTTTCATGCCTCAGTATTTTAAAGCTGTCAGTCCTGGAATAATCTGTAGCTATGCCAGTGTCAAAACCCTGTCATTCCGTCAGACTTTTATAGGTTTAGGAACATACTGACTCCACAGTTTTAAAGCAATTAATTTTCATTTCCAAAGCAAACATGCCAAATGGCTTCACACAGACTAGGAACACTGAAAACACAAAGTTTTTTGTAGGGAAGTTCATTAAGGATCCAGATAAAAATACTTCCAAACTGACATGGTAGAAAGTAAACATTTCAGGCTCAAAAGACTAGAATTTTCTGTCAAAACAGATTTATTCTTTTTTTTTTTTCCTACTGTCTCTAACATTTTAAGTCATAAACATGGAATAAATTCACAACTCCGATTTGTCAGCTAGGAGCATTTCTGCAGGGCAATCAGTTTCCTGGGATATCTGTTTCAGTGGACAACATATAACTTGTAAGTAGATACTTAGAATAAGATTTGAATAACTGAGGCCATAAAGTTCTATCTGTTTATAAAATTCTTGTATTTTTGTCAGTTGCATCTGTTTCCCTTGAAATGTTGTGGGGGTTTTTTTGGTTTTGTTTTTGGGTTTTTTTTGCTGTGTCTGAGAAGCCTATGACATGCAGCCAACAGTATTTGTGGTTTAAATATCTTCCTTAGGGTAACACATTATCCAAACTAGAATAATATGGAAGTATATCACAGCAAAAGGATCACTAATAAGTATTCAACATCGGAACAACAGGGTTTATGCAAGATTTGTTACAGAACCAGACTTCAAAGCAGCCTCCCTGTGTGCCAAATCTCCTAATGAAAACAATTTTTCATGTTAGTGTATACTGTACATGATCTAAAGCCCTGAGTGTACTTCCAGAAGATTAGAAGAGAGTCAGCCATATCACATGCTGTGTACAAAAACAGCAGTGCAAAATGACGAGTCCCTAACTCATAAGATACATGTGAATAGTTCTGACACAGCAGTAAGGATGATTTGCTCTGGGTTTGTAACCTGACCTGTCTGCCACCCCAGTGAAGACAGAGGAATTGTTACTGAAACTGCTCTTCTGACATGGAATTTTACAGAATATTTTTAAAGCAAAGCAGCATTGATTTTCAAACTACACCCTTCAAACTGTGGCATTTACAGAGACATTTCACAAGAGTCAATGGGCATAGTTAAGGCAGCAAGAGGACCTGAGAAGCAAAACCGTCCAGCTGCCCCACTGTCAGCAGGCACCAGTCTTCAAAAGCCAGACCTGCAGTGGTTTTAGTGTGATCACTGCACTTCCACACTGGCATATTTAGATTCCATATTCTCATTGGATCTCTTCCCAATCTTTATGTTGTTACAGACCAGGTTTTCATTCCCAGATTATCCTAACAACTACAGCACACAGAGCAGATTTTTATTACCAGATTATTTTAACAGCACTCTGAAAGTGCCATTTGCCTCTGTACAATCAACCACTGCAAAGTAATGCAATCAGAACCTGAATTTTCTTTTTATTTTAAGCTGACAAAGGCTGTGCCTGGCAATGGTATCCTTTCCACAGACTTACATTCCCCTGTGTCTCAGTGACCATTTTTATGTCAGCCCTTGGGATTTTTTATTTGGTCTGGAAATGGTATATTCAGCAGATTTATTAGTTATCATTTTTAACTGGCCCACCTGACACTCTGCCTAAATGACTAACTCAATTCCTTGTGAAAATACAAGTTTAGGAAATGAACTCAGAAAAATTGAATCTCTAGATTTTTTAGGAGCCGAAAGTTTATACATTCATATCTCAGAACAGCCTCAAATTATCAAAGTAACCTTAAGCTGCTTTATTATTGCATATTGTTCTCATGTACAAAATAAGTCACTTCTTGAAAAAAAGAAAGGAATTTTTTTGTAGTTGAGAGTATAAAAGACATTTCCAAGGGGATAATAGATGTTACAAATTTGAACACTTGGAAAAGAAAAGTCTAGCAGGTATTGTGGATGATGATGACTTCTTCTCTAAAACCTAGGCTCAATATCTGAAAGTTTTTCTTTTCCTGATTACTTTTTACATGCATTAGTACACTGATCTTATCACTGGCTTTCACAAAAACAGGTCATGTTGACCGGAATATCAGGAAAAATGAAGATAAGTAATATAGAAAATACATTATTCTGGTGTTTGCATTGCCCGACTGGTACTTACTTGGGCCTTCAATTATTTTTTAATTATTGCTAAAAGGAAAGTGCAATTTTCTGGGTCTTGATATTGTATGTCCTTTAAGAAACCTTGATTTCTAATTAAAAAACCAGTTAACAAGGAGTTTATAAAGTCTGACTGTTTAAAACTGAGTCAAGGAGGACTTTTAAGATTGAACTCTGCTGTTTCTATTGCATTGGGTGACAGCTGAACTCTGCTTCAACATTTTTCAAGCCAATGAGGAGTGACCCTCTGGACAGGGTAGTACTGCAGAGTGATGATCAAATTTGGAGGCAGGTTCTCAAGACTTTTCTTCATACTGGAACAGCTGGAGATGCTGCCCAAGGAGGCAAACCTTATGTATTCTGTCCATCTGGAACTCACAGACACACACCGGCTGGCCTTAATTTCAGTATCCCTCACCAAAACAGTGCTTTTTCCAGTGAAAAAATAAGAAGTCCCAAACTTACACATCCAAATGTGGTTTAGGATCTTTTCCGTTGCATTTTCTAGCTGCGTGTAAGTAATTTTCTAAAAAAATATCCCATTTTGAAATATGATTTTGAAACTCTCTGACTATAAAAATTAAAAATTTATTCTTGCTAAAAATTTACAAAGTAAAACATATTTATGGATTAAATGACATTCGAATTTGAAGTTTATTGCTAGATAATGTTCAAACCCTCTCCACAAATTTTATGTTGCTTTAGTAAAGAGCATTCATCTAGACTATAATGAAAAATATACTGTCATTAGAATTTCTCCACTGACAGAAAACTTAAATAGAGAGAAAAAGAGAGGATTTTGAATTTCTGAAAATAAAATACTAATACACATTTTGTGCAGAGGTCTCCTGTAGTCTCTAGAAACAGCCTGGGTTGTAACTTCTAAGATATCTGTTTTAAATTGAAGAGAGTAAAACTTTGAAAAGCAACAAGTTTGAGAATGTTTAGGAATCATGGAAGCATTTATAACAGAATTTCAAATAAAATTATTTTTTAAATGGCATACCTGTGGAGTCAAAAATCTCTTCAGGCTGCAATGCAATCTTTTTGGTTTTGCTCAGATGGTTCTGGAAATTTATTTAACTAAAAAAATCCTTAGAAACACAACACAATAAAAATAAGGAAACCAGAAGAAATGAGAATGTCAGAAACAAAATAACTATGACATTTCTACATGTCTTGAAAAATAAAAAGACCTCTTGAATGAACAATGTTACTTCTTTCAAGGTGATAATTTGCTGGGTTTTAGATCAGTATAATTTCAATTTAAGAAAGAAATGGGAGAGAACTGTATTTCTGGCTCATGGGAAATTATCAGTTGGCTTTATTTTTACCTTCTTTACACTAGAACAAGACCAAAGAAACCATTATGCCGTGTGAAGCAAAATTCTGATGGAAAAAATAAAAGTTGCCACTTTGGGCTGATAGCATTCCCTGCCCCACCCCCTCCCCCCACTGCTTTAAATTTTCTCACTTCAGATTAATTTTTTAAAAAACACTCTGCCAGTCTGAATCTTTCATACAGCTCAGCTCCCACCATCCAGTGATTCAAGGTAAATGCTGCCTTCTTAAAATTGCTCTCAGAAAAGGAAAATATTTTGGTAAAAAGGATAGAAAGAAGACAGAGAAAAGAAGATCAAAAGGGAAGTACAGTCAATAAATAGAAATTTCCAACAACTCTTTCCAGAAGATTACACACTCTCTATTTTTGTTACTACACCTGGTGGAACAAGCCAAAGTTACTCACCCATCTCAAAGCTGCTTTGCCTTCTACAGAATAATCTGAAATGAAGAAAGAGGTGTTTTCAAATTCTCAATTTATATTAACCTCTTAAACACCCTCAAAATGAATCTGGTGCTTTTCCTACTAATCTGTCTCCCCTACATAACTGCCTGTAATAATTCTTAGCAAAATGTTTTTTCACTGAAGTACTCTGGATATTTATGTGCTTGCTGTGCTCTGATTTTTATTCTTTGAAATACAAGTGCTTCATAACAAAAATCAGGTTCACAAGCTTGTTGGTAGCTCACAGCTCATTGTGTCCTCTGCACACAATAACTGGGTCTGTAAAATCTTCCAGAAAAAGAGGCTTTTTGGTCTTTCATCTCTCAGCACTTCGTGATGCCTTTTTTGTATCTTCTGTCCACTTCAAGGTATAAAGGCACAGAAAGCTGAGAGCCTTTGAGATCTCTGCCTATTCTTGAATCTCCAAGGAGCAATTTCTGCTGAATTCCGTCGTGTGGAAACATCAACATTTCAGTCCAAGGCAGCCTGCTCTTTCTGTGCCATCTGCCCCCCACATGATACACCCCAGTCCTCAGCTCCACGCTCTTCTAACACAATCATTGCCTGACCTGTGGCCCCAGTGAAGGAGAAGGGAGGAGTTGCTGCCTGTAATTCTGATTTCTGAGGACAGCCCCCCTCCTCCCCATCCCCTTCCTTTAACAGAAGAAACATCTGGGGATAGTGAAGTTGTGGGGACCTATTGCTACTGTCTCTTGCCACCACAGCCAGCACTGCCTCAGGGTTCTTCTTTCCAAGGCGGGTATTTGACAGTGAAGTTGCAACTTGGCAGTAGTGTTGCAACTCCTTCAGTAGTGATTATCTATCTGGGGTTTTCCCAGGCATTTTATCCTGCAGTACAGAGAAATATAAGCCCAATACCAGAGCAGAGGATTTGAGAAGTGGAGATGAAGGATGTGTCACGGGGTTATGGGAATGGGATGGTAGGAGATGGGGCCATGGAGGCACTGGAGGCCTTATGGCTAATATACATCCTCAAAACAGAAATATAGGACTGGATTTCAAGTGAAGTGGGCTACACAGAGAACAAAGTAGTCACTAATAAACTCAGGTGAGACAGAGCTGCGCACCAGGCAAGAAAGATCATGGTGTAAAAGTGTATTACCAAGCACACAAAAATGATCCTGTATGGATCCTAGAGTGAGGAAGAAGAAACTGTCAACATGGGCATCCCATTCTTCCCATCAAGGATTGTAGATGCTGAAAATTTCCTGCAACGTCCTCACTGCCAACACTAGGATGAGACCAGCAAGTTTATGACCCTGAGGAGCAGAAGAGGAGTGAACAGAAAATCAGGAAAAAGCATTGAAAATAAGAAATATCTTCACAATGATTTTAACTGAATTATTATAACTACTGGGCTCTTTCTCCATAGATGTAATATTTTCCTATCTCCAAAAATTACTCTTGGATTCACAATGATTCTTGAATTAGACTGTAATGAAATGTAATAATTTTTAAAATATTAACAATTAACTTTCGACTTAAGGTGCATTTCCTCTATTCCCCCCCCCAAAAAAAAAGTATAATTCTGGGTCCATATTGCAATAAAGTGACAAAAGTCGAATCACAAAATATGCTCATATGCTCTCTTGGAAGGGAACCAGACACCCCAAGAGTCACACCATGTGCCTGAGGACATTGTCCAATGTTCCTTAAATTCTGTCAGGCTTGGTGCTGTGACTACTTCTCTGGGGAGCCTGTTCCAGCATGGGGGTCTGAAAGATATGAGCAGTGAATTCAGCTCATTCCTGGATTTCCATGCCTACCTGGATGGAGTGTAATTTCTTTTCATGGAGAAGAGTTTCAGAACCTATATTTTGAGGTTTTTTACTCTTAAAATGTCCAAGGTTTAAAGTTATCAGCAAGACTATAATTTAAAATTCTGGTGTTTCTTGAGTATGTGTAGACTCAAATAAAAAGGTTAACTCTATTAAAAGAATTAGATTTAAAGGCTATAATCCATTACTCCTTAGAGTCATCATCTACTATAGCTATAGCAATTTTTAATGTCAGAAAAAAATGGAATTTCTAGTGTAAAAGTGACCATACTGCCTTAAGGAGCAAACAGTAGTAAACCAAGGAAAAAACCTATTTTTTTTTCTTTCCTTGGTCACTATCAAAGGAGAAAAAAAAAGGCTAAATAATGTTAATGCGGGTCTGCAAGGGACATAGCACATCAGTGGATGTCAAAGGTGGTGTGCAGCATCTATTCTATTGATCTGTGAGATAAGACATCACCAGTGATTAAGGACAACTGGTCCAGTTGCAAATGAATTACATTTGCTGATTCTCTGAGCCTTTGTGTTTCAGTCTGAATTGCTGCAGGACCATTACTTTAGATTGTGACACTGAAAATTCATGCTGCAGGAGTGATCAAGTGATCCTCACTATGCTCCCTCTTTTAAGGTTTTCATCACAAGGGTAATTTTCTTACCTCCACTCCTTTTTGGCTATTCTATACTGCCTCTGGTTAAACTTAAATCTTACAAGTGTAAAGGACAGACACATTTCCAGTGAGAAAAAAACAAACCCAGTCTCAGAAGATATGATTTTCATGCCAGATTCAAACCCATACTCATACTCAGTTCTATGAGTTCCATACTCATAATCCCCTGTGAGTAATTTCAACTTTTCCACACAGAAAGGTAAAAACTAAATCGAGTCTTTGATTTTTAAGTAGATCTTACTTCAATAAAAGTAGGGGGAAGTTTAGGCATTTTGGCAACCTATTTGTCAGAATACATGTTAGGACATGTAAGCAAAGGCAATAACTTGTTCTGTTTCCTATGTTGTTGCTTGATCTGGGGGAGGAAAGGCTTTCAGAAAGCAAACATGACAGGCTGCCCACTGGAAGGTTGGTGCTGAAGGGAAAGCACCATCTTTTTTTTCACTGAGGAGAATGCTACAACTGGTATTTCTCAAAGTAAAATTCAACCTTTGGGCCTTTAAAATAAAAATATAAAGAAGTTCATTCCATTTTGCTTAAACAGCTAACCTGCTTTTTCAGGTCTACCACTGATCCCACTGTTTTGCTCACAGGCTCAGTTTGGCTTAGCTGATGAATGGCCATTAGCATACATGACTATTTCAAGGCCTATTATGGCTCTAACTTGGCATATTTTATAGGAGATGGTCGTCTTCCTTTCATTGTCTCATACCTCATCTTCACTAGACCTCTCCAGGAGCCAAATAAATTCACCATAATGTGAAAATGGATTTCTTTTTACTCTGAAAAGGATTTCTATTCCCGAATATAATGGATTAGCTTTGCTACAAATCTTTTCTGTCATCTAGATGAATTTTTTTGGAAGGAGATGAAAATCAAAGATTTAATGCATTTGAGCTGCTGTAACCATCAGGAAGGATGGTTTTTATGGTGAAAATGAATAATCCTTTTTTCCCCTTTTTCAGGATTAATACTATATAGAAAAGGGGCACTGTGAGGTGAAACAGAGCCAGTATCATATTGACAGAAATGTTTTTGCCTTTGATAAATATGGTAGGAAATCATGTAACATTATCAACATTACCCTGTGAATGAAATTCACAGAACACCTTGCCTAACTTCAGACTTTGTACATTGTAAAAAGCTATGACAGGCACAAAGGCTTTCTGATTGCAGTGCATCTGTTCCAAAGAAGAGACAATATTTCATTAATTTTAGGAGTTTGGAATGGGCTTATTTTGGTTGGTTCTTTTTTTGGATTGGTTTCATGTTTTTTCTTTTTTTGTTGTCATTTGTTTTGTTTTGTTATGATTTTGTTTTTTCATTTCCAACTCTACGATGGGACTTTGTGCCAAAAAAAATTTGTTTGTTTTTTTAACTGCATCAGTTAGTGTAATAAAAACCATCTCTTGTGTGAAAGATTTGATGGATATAAATACTGAAGGTTACTGATACATGCATCAAAACTACACTTATGCAACTCAATAAATAATCAATACATTGGCTGAGCTAAGCTGATATAGCACTTTTTACCATTTCTTACCTCTAATTTTAAATATTCAGTGCTACAATGCATACAAAAAAGATAATTAATAACTGAATATGATATGAATTATCATTTTATAGAAAATAATTGCTCCCATATTACTCATTTTCAGATATGAAGACAATCTGCCATATGTCTAAACTAGCATCTTTGATTTTACACTGTTTAAGAATAAACTGTATTCTAAATCAGTCTTTTTTAATCCTTCATGTATAATTGAAGATCAAAAAATCTGATAAATAATCTTCTGATGTTAAATTTATTCACAATGATAAATAAATGTTCTGCTTCTTGGTCTGTTCTGCCAGGAAGTGAGAAAATAAATCTGATCTAACCATGAATAATTTGAAGTACTTGCATGTTTGGAAAACTATTAAACTTAGAGAAATTGATTAATTTGCACAGTGAAAAGAAAATATTTATATTCCTTTTAGAAGCATGGATCATTTTTATTCCAGAACCTAGAAGTTTGCCATTAAAATCAGCAATAAAAATTATTGAAAAGACTCATTTTGGGAGAAAAAGTATTTCTAAATTTACTGTATTGAGAAATGTGAGAAGTCATCATGTTTTAACTAAACTTAAATATAACTGTGGCACTGAAATCAGATTGCATGATATTATGGATGCATGAAAATGAGTTTGAGGGGTTAATAATTACATTTGGAAACAAAATAGTTACATGATGTAATTATAGTGTTAAAATACTGACTTCCTTCAAATGTCTATAAAGGAGAAGAAAACACATGTGTTCAGAAGGTTTTTTAAACATTATTATGTCTAGTGTTGTCTAATTTGATTAAGGGCTCCATTCTGGTAACCTTCCTAATGTTAATCACTTTATTAGAAGGGACTCTTCCAAGACTGAACCTTTCAGCCTGGCTGAAAGCATTAGTTTACATTTTGCAGAGCATTATGATCTAATTTTGTATTTGTCTGTATTGGTCTTAAACATTAAAACAATGCATTTTTCCATCCATATATTTGTTTTAGACAGTTTGTACTCTACACTATATTTTACTCATAATTTCAATGCCTTGTATTAACATTTAAAATTAGAGTAGTGTATCTCTATGAGAAGAAAATTAAGTGCAAATGGAAATACAGATAAATCCAGCTAGAAGTTGAGTTCAAGCAAGCAAGAGATTGCAGATACTGGGGGTTTTTAAATCATGACTGTGTAATGGAAGTGAGAACCTTTCCTAATTTGGATGTGCATGCTCTGATAACATCTCACATCTCAGTCTCCAAGGCAGAGACATCCCATTATTTACTGTACTCAGAGACCACAATTCCAGGGTGTGTTGCCTCATCCATCAGTCACTAAGTACAAGAGCAATCTATGTGACTAGCAGAAGATGCTCAATTTCCTTGTGGCAGAACTTAATGTTCTAACATAAAACCAGCTTTCAAGACAAATTCAGCATTGGATCTGGACAACACCAACTTCCCACAGGCAGGAAATTTAAGATTTAAGATTTAAGACTACTAAATACACTGAATTCAGAGCTAACATGCTATATACCTTAGTTCATAGTGCAGAACAGCATTATAGTAATAGTATATTGCACTCGTGAGAACACAGCACACTGTTTGAAAAATAGATCTAGAAAAATCTATAAATTTCTTTAAAGATCTGAAAAAAACAGTCTAAAGAATGAAAAAAAGACTGGAAGTGTTTTGCCCACATCACAGCTTGTCTCTTACAAGCACCATTCCAGCCTACACAACAGCTGTTGAGCTTTTGCCCTTCTGAGATCTAAGTAAAACATTTCTCCTCATTTGTAGGAGAGTGGCTGCCCTTCTTTACCAGATGGTGGCAGAAAGAAGAAGTGGAGATGCACAGAGACAGAGAGAGGGAGGCCCAAATTCGCCCCATTCCTGTTAACTATTAGTGGTAGTTGTACCTAGTATTGCACGCTTTTCATCCTCCAAGTGCTTCTTTCAACAGATTTTCTTCATTAAATCAACTTTCTTAGGAAGTTTATATTGAAGTGAAGGGAGTCGACCCATCTTAATTGACCAGCATCGAACTCCAATTTATTGATTCAACCAGGCGCATTTTATAACCGTGTTAATTAAGCTCATACATATTGCAAAACCTGAGCTCATCATTGGTCACAGATTACACATTAACCCCTCCTTTTGTTTTCAATACCTGTGGTTTGTTATTGAAACCAAGATTTGTGTTCTCACCCTGATATGAATGGTTCTCAAAACTTACTTTTACTTTCCCAAAACAGCTAAAGATAGAATGTTTACCTGTT